AAATAATACTAAGAAAACTTGATGGTGTAGCTATAATACAAACAGCAGAGAAATAAGACAAGGACACTTAGTCAGTAGGAGTGAATTCACATTACAAGTAGCATTTTGAAATCATGTAAACTGTATGACTAAACTGCACTGTTCGTCCAAGTTGCACTGTTCTAGCTGATGACTAAGCTGCACTACTGTAAAACTGAACTACTGACAAAGAAACTAACAGCCAATTGAAAGCATGTAAAGAAACTACCGCTCGTAATCAGCCACTGAACTACACTTTATTGGGAGATAATAAAGTGTATCCTGATGGCAGCATGTAATCATATGAGGAACCATTATAAGGATAAATAGTCATAAATAAGGTGCTAAGTCCGACACTCAAATCTAAGTGGATAAGATCAATCAAGGGCTGTACAATATTCACACCTAAAAAAAAAAGTGTACGTACTGCATCAAAATGGGAGGTACAGCTTGGATGAAATTGTGGCCATGTCCATGTACCATGTTGATATCCAGTAACTCGTGGGCTTACTCTAAGGCCCCAATTAAAATAGTCAAGGTTATATTACATTACATTACATGCATTCAACAAATAACTGACTTATCCAATTTTGTGCTGAATACGTTCTGCTGAACTCACTTTGTAAAAGATAGTAGATTGTTTATAAGGAACAAGTAAACTGAAGCCCAACAAATTTCTGAGCTAGCAGGGAAACACTCGAGACAATTGCATGCAATTTGGCACAATGCAAACAGCTTTGGAAGGTGATATTTTTTTATTGGAAAAAAACATCGTAACCTCTGCCACTTGCGCCAAGGTCTCGATTCAACCTGCAGGTGCAGTAACTGAAAGGGGAAAAAATAAAACTCTACTTGCGGCAAAGCAGTACTACGAATGCAGATCACTAGACGCAAGACAATGCTAAAACTGTGGGTTCGTCTTCTTCAGATCTTAAGGGAAGCGAACCACGAAATGCAAGGAGGCAGGCAGTACCAGCAGCTCAAATGGTCAAATTTCGGGCAGGCAAGGAGCTTGTGGAGAGAGATGGCCTTTCCTGTTGCTGTCCCGTCCCTTCCCTTCTCCCATATAAACAACCTTCAAGAATATTTTGAGGCGAGCAGAAGAAAGCAGAGCCACATGCTTTGCATTGCACACACACACACTAGTACTAGTACTTGGGGTAATTACAGAGGAGAGGAGGATACGTTGAAAACAAAGCAGACAGCCGTACGAGCATTCTCATGTCAAAGTTCTCCAGATCGAAGAACTGAAAAACACGACTCTGTCACCTAGGCCAAACTGGAGTAGGATAGATCGGCGCCCACTTCTAATCCCCACGAACTGATCATCGTCATCACCACCATCCTACTACCAGGACTCTCAACTAGAACTAGAGACAAGATCCAAGAACCCTAGAGGAGGGAGAGAGGGCGAGGACGAAGGGGAGAGCGAGGGAATCACCGGCGAGAAGGACGAGGAAGGGGGAGGATGTAGGGTCGCGGTCGCCCCACGCCGCCCCGCCGTCACCGCTGTTGTGTCGTCACGTGCTCGCGTCGTGGAGACAAGGAGCCGGCACCAATCCGGAGGGTAGGAGGTCCGGTTCCGTTCCGGGCCGTGGAGACAGGGAAAAGAGAAGGCAGTTTTGGTTCCGGGCCAGGTTCAGGCCCGCCTGAAACGAACGCACATTCTAGTTCCCATCCGGATTGAAAATGGGCCGCAGCAATCCACCCAGAATGGGCCAATCCGGAAAAAACGAACGACGCCTAAGGATGTTGATTCCGTGTGCTGGGATCCCACTGGCGAATATGTGGTGTCTGTCAGTGAGGACACAGTGAAGGTGTGGTCTTTCAATGATGATAGCTTTGTGAATGATCTTAACTGCGGCGGGAGAAAGTTCACTTCATGTACTTTCCATCCTACATATCCATCCTTGCTTATCATTGGCTGTTACCAGGCAGGTTACTTTCCCTTGCATGTCTTTACTCACAGTTCATTCCAAAACTAGATTGCATGAACCTAGGGTGCCTGTCGTCAAATGGTGGTTTTCAACTTCATACACTGAATTTGAACTATTCAATATGTAGATTTCAGCTGCTGCTAGTTCCACCTTTTTTTTGAAAGCTTTAACAGGAGCTCTACCTTTCAATTAAGATAGGGATAAAGGGGTGTTTATGTACAAGCGCTAGTTCTACTTTTAGTAGAGGATAGAATTATTGAAAAATGCCCATCTTCTAACAGAAGTGGTACGTACGAAGTGTCACAAATATCAACATGTTGCAGCTGTTGTAGGACATGAAGTGATACATACGTACATACGAGTTAATAGTTTAGCACAATTCCATGATGACTGCAACTGCTATTTTTTCTACACCCTCTATTAATCTCTGAGGTATCTTACTCGTGGTCCTGTGCTGAATGCAGTCTCTGGAGCTGTGGGACATGTCTGAGAACCGGAGCATGACCATTGCAGCGCACGACAGCCTCGTCTCAGCCTTGGCCTCGTCAAGCTCTGGCCTGGTTGCTTCCACAAGCCATGACAAGTATGTCAAGCTGTGGAGATGAGCTTGCCTTCAGTAGTTCAGTCTCTGGCGCGCACTGGCGTTAACTACGGTTGGACACCCAGCCCTTTTGGCACCATTAGCTGCCCTGCTGCTCAGCTGTGCTGCTGGTGTGTTGCAGTAGCACTCAGGATGGTGACTATATCCAAACCGCCTGACTGAACATGTGGCCGGGGAAGTAGCGTGTAGTACACCCTGAAGAAGTGGTTTAGCACTAGCTCTTTTTTTTTGAGAAAAGGAAGGAAAGCTTTTGAAAGGGCAAATTCTTACGAGTACGAGTGGAATTGGATGGTAGAATTGAAGCGTTGTCCCATGGTTTATGATTTGTCAATCTTGAAATGTACTGGCCCGATGTCTCGAACATGCATGTCTGAATGTGTTCGTAGGACCTTACACGTGTGCATGTATACGAGTGTTTGTAGACTCATAAAAAAAAGAACTTTTGGTGATCAACAATTTATGTTTTTTTATTTCGTAGGATAGGATTTCGCAAGCCATCAAACTCATTTTTCATATGTTTTTCATGCTACCGAGATTCACGTATGAGTTGTTCGAAAGAGCCCTCAAATTGAGTGCCAGTTGCATAATTTCAAATGAAGAAAAACTATCCTTGCATGAACACAAGAGAACTATAATGTTTCTAAAAGGTTTCGAATATTTTGTTCGAATTTACATTCCAAAAAAGAACGCAAATAAAAACAACTGCTCCGGTCTTGGGTTCACAAGGCCGGCCGGTCAGCCAAGCCGGTTTAGGTGTTTATTCACTTTTCTATAAATTTAGTCACTACCCTCTCCATTCTAAATTATAGTTTAGTTTTAAATTTGTCCTTAGTCAAACTTCTCTAGCTTTGCTAAATGCTAAGTTTATAGAAAAATATATCGACATCTACAATTTCAAATTAGCTTCATTAAACTATCCATGAAATATGTGTGCTCATAGTGCATTTATTTGAATCTTTACATGCTAATATATTTTCCAAAAAACATGGTTAAAATTAGAGAAGTTTAAAATGTGAACTACTTGTGCAATTTATATAATTTAGAATGTGGGGAACAAGTCATATTAATCGTACGTACAGCTTACGTTTAGTGGGGGTTTATTTACTTTTTTTTAGCTTTGGTGGTTTATTTACCTGGTTCTCAACACTGATTTCTTCGGGCCGAAGGCTGCCGGAATCTTTGGAAGCTGAGGAAAATATGGCCCATTACAGTGCAAAGAGTGGGCCTGTTCCTTAAGGCCCAACTCGCTGGCAGGCTACATCTCTCCATCCTCAAATAAAAAAAAATAACAATGACCGTCTCGTCCGGATGGACTCGCACACTGATGACTCGACCGAGCGTGTCCACCGACTCCTTATCCCATTCATCCCATGACCCTCCGCGCCCACTCGCTCGCTCCGCTCGCCCGCTCTCCCCCTACTCCTTCGCACCCACTCACTGCCGCGTCCGTGTGTCGTTCTCCATGCCACCCCCACGAACACCGCGCTCGCGCACCAAGTCGCTGCCGCCCCTTCCTTCCACCCTCTCTCCCTTCGCGACCACCATGTGACCCCCACCGGAGACTAGGACGACGGCGACGGCTTCGACGAGGTAGGTCGGTCCTTCTCTGGATCTGAACCCTCCTCCTCCTCTAAATGTGAGCTCTCCTCCTTCACCTCCTCTGGATCTGAGGGACGCGGCGGTGGCTAGGTTCCGGAGAGCTCTGGGGTCCTATTCCCTCCTTACTCCGGCGAGCTCGAAGGTGATGGGCCAGGGGCTTTTTTTACGCTTTTTTGTTGTTTCTCTCGTGTTGCAATGAGTTTTTTTATGTTACAACGGATGACTTTGGAATGTTGCAATGGAATTTTTGGGTGGTTGCAACAGATGTTTTTGCGATGATGCAGTACTGCTACTTTAGATGTTGCAGCACATTTTTTTTATGTTGCAGTATATGTTTTTCGACGTTGCAGTACTTTTTTTGGATGTCGTAGTACATATTTTTCGATGTTGCAGTGCATGTTTTTCAATGTTGCACTATATATTTTTATGATGCTGCACTATATAATTTTTTATATGTTTTGTAATATTGTATTTGAAATGTTTCATGCTCTTTTAGACAGGGACAAGGTGCAGGAACGGTGCGTTGGGGATCGAGGACAGGGCGAGGAGGACAGGGACGGTTTCCGTTCTATACGCGGGGGTGGGGGGTTCGTTCTATTCCACGCGGGAGGCGGGCACGCCCTCGCGCGCCAGACATCGTCGGGGCGCTAAAATCGCCGAAAAAAAAATGTAAACCCCGTTGCTTTCCTCAACAAAAAAAAATGTAAACCCCGTTGCCAACTCCCGTCGCAATCGAGAAGCAGAGGCAGGCTCCATCTTCCTTCCGGTTCCGTTCCACCGACATCCTCCACTTCCACTTCTCCCCAACCCCAACAAGGTTTTCGGCGACGCGTCGGCCGCGGGAGATGGACGCCGCGGAGGACGCCGCGTCGAAGCTCCCGTCCCTCTACGCCGAGCTCGTCGCCAAGTCCTCTCGCGTTGCCGAGCTGCAGGCCAGGATCTCGGCCCTCGAAACCGAGAACGCGGGTTTGAGGGAGGCCCTGTCGGTGGCGAGGCGAGAAGCAACGGGCAGTACAGGCGAGGAGGAGGACCCAATCTCTCGTCGATTGGCGCCAGTTCTACGCGGAATCAAGCACGAGGTGGTCGATAAGCGGGGCGGGGGCGTGGCCCGCGACGCAATTGAGGTCAGCGACGACGAGGAGGGCGCTGCTGCTGTCGGTGCCAACAAAGGGGGAAGCCCGGAGGAGGGCGTGGGCGAAGCCGATGCGGAGGACGCGGAGGGAGGCGGCGGAAGCAACAGGGAGAGCAGCGCGGGTCTTGAGGATGATGATGTTTCGGTCACGCCGCGGGGTAAGAAGCGTGGCCGTGGGGCGGCGGCGACGCGGGTGGTCACCAGTGATAGCGAGGATGATGGTGGTGGTGATGTGGATGGGCTTGGGAGTGGCAAGGATGACGGCGACGATCAGGAGGGCCTCATGAGCAGCAGGAAGCGCGCCTTTCGCCGAGTCAGTGACAGTGAGGATGAGGATGGCGATGAGGGCGTAGCTCCGCATCAGGCTGGGAGTGGGGAGGAGGATGTGCATGATATGGTTCCCATCTATGAATTGCTCAAGAGGAGGGGGCCTAGTGGGGACGGTGATGAATCGGATGAGGACAAAGGGGATTCCGCTCCCGTGACGAGGTGTTCTTCTCAGTTGGTTAAGAGGGTTCCTAGTGAGGATGATGATGAATCGGATGAGGCCAAAGGGCATTCCGCTCCCGTGACGAGGCGTTCTGCTCGGTTGGTTAAGAATCATTCAAAATCCGACCGCGTGTTCCGTGGAGTCAGTGACAGTGAGGATGAGGATGGCAATGAGGAAATAGCTGCGCCTCAGGCTGAGAGTGGACCCAAGGAGGAGGATAATATGGTTCCCATCTATAAATTGCTCAAGAGGATGCCAAAAGAGAGGGCGAGTGAGGATGGTGATGAATCATATGAGGCCAAAGGTCATTCCGCTCCTGCGACGAGGCGTTCTGCTCGGTTGGTTAAGAAACAGTCAAAATCCGACCGCGTGTTTCGTGGAGTCAGTGACAGTGAGGATGAGGATGGCGATGAGGGCATAGCTGCGCCTCAGACTGAGAGCGGGGACGAGGAGGATGATATGGTTCCCATCGATAAATCATGCAAGAGGATGCCAGAAGAGAGGACGAGTGAGGAAAGCGATGAATCTGATGTGGCCAAAGGGCATTCCGCTCCTGCATCTAGGCGTTCTGCTTGGTTGGTAAAGAATCAGTCAAAAGGGCGAAGAGCTGCATGTCCGGGGCTCCACTTTGTTGAACCACCCAAGGATGTTGAAGGGAGTGAAGATGATATGGAAGAAGACGATGATATGAATGAGTTCATAAATGATGGTTCTTCTGATAACGCTAGTGATTCTGCTGAGGAATCCTGTGACGAATCAGATGAACCATCTGTTCTGAATGAAAAATCCTCTCCAGGACTAGAAATGTCTGATGGTGAGGTGGACTATAAAGATGTTATGGCTTGCATTGGCCGTAAAAAGAAAGCTAAAGAGTGGGATTATGAGGCAGATATGCTAGCAGCATTTGGTGAACATCCTGAGCTTTGCTTGAAGGCTGTTTGTGCCATCTACCGGAAGCAAACTGAGGATGAACAGGTGGAAAAGGCCTCTTTAGTTCATAATAAGCAGGGATTTAGCAACAAAGATGCCCCAAGGTATGTTTATATGCATCTCATTGGTTTTTTGCACAGTTAATAGCAGATTCATTGCTCGCAAATAAGAAGTAAGGCGGTGCTGTTTGAAGCAGCTTGAATTTGAGCATAGTAGGAACTTTCCTGTATACATGTATTTGTTACCGTAGGTTCCTAGGAAGGTACATTATCTAGATTGAATTTCTAAATGTGTCGACATTTCTTGTTAGGAATCAATATTGAATTAGCTTACTAGCTCTGCACTTGATTATTAACAAACATTTCGTAGACAGTGTTAATTAACAAAAAAAGGTGTTTTTTGTTAAGTTTCTTGAACGCAATGCTAAAAAAACCGGTTATGATTTTTGTTCAGCTAAACAGTTTAGGTTGAGAGGAAATTTCAGTGCTAAGTAACTTGCACGATATGCTTGTATTTTATTTAACTCCTCTGTAGTATTTCGTAGTAAAGTAGAATGAAAAGATGAGCACTAAGGGAAGTTGGTGTTCTCAGTCTGCTGATAGTTGATTGCACTCTACTGTTCATATAGGGGATCTCGCATAGCAGAATTTCTTTTGGATGGTGATCGGGTTGGTCCACTGAAGAAGACCGTCTCAGATTTGGACGAGTATGATCGTTATGCTTTTGAGTTCTGTCGCAAGGTGGCTTCACACTACTCAAAACAACTTTTTGCAATTTACCAGAACAAGGAGGACCCTTACTTTCATCCATAGCTCTGGTAATGTCTACACCTTACATTGACCTTGTATGTCTCCCCTTTAGTATTCCGCCAACTGCCTGCTACACTCCTTTGTACATATATGTTTAATTGTTGGGTCTCCTGGAAAAGTTAGGACCTGTTAAATGTAGTTTCGGAGAATGCAGTGGTCTTAATGTGTCATAGGAGTGTTGTTTAGGAAGACAAGTGCTTATGGTGTTTGTGTTATGGTCTGGTCCGTGCTACAATCCTGTTTAATATACCTCATTAAGATACTCTATTTATTGAGTTGGGGGCATGAATCCTTCTCTTCTGCAAATGGATGTGTGACCAATGTACTGTTACTTCCAGACTCATATGCACTTATGAGTGCTTAAATTAGGCCTGCAAATGGGGTAAGACCCACCCCACATCCGCCCTAACCCGTTCGCCTGACATAACCTGCTGCCAACCCAACCCCACCCAAAAATCAAATTACTAAACCTGCCCCACTCTTGTGGGTCCACTCAAGCGCGAGCTTGTCGTCCGTCTTGGCCTCTTGACTCGCCTGAGCGCCTAGCACACGCAAATATCACATCGCATCATGAGCTTGCTTGGCTGGTGCACCACCTACCCTCCCAGCTCCGCTGCCCGCTCGCAAATCGCCGGTGCATTCCCAAACCCGATGTGCAACCTCGCGCAGCACCACCGTCTCCTACTCTCCTCAACAGGTGGCTGACCTCAATGTGCCTTCCAGGAGCAAAAGGCATCCTCCACAAATGGCCCAAGCGCCACTGCTTGCACCGCCATGCAGCCAGGTTGCTTGCGCCCGTTTGCTGCGCTGGCCGCTACTTGCACCCGCTGCTGCTGGCCACTGGGTGTGCTGGCTTGCTGCGCCATGGAAGGCCGGCTGCTGCTGATTACAGCCCCTATGCGGAGGTTCTTCTCCGAGTAGTCAAGTTTGAACTCAAGAATACCAGCGACCAACATCCTGGCACTCCAATTATTCCAAGTATACTTTCCACATATCAACACCTTGATTCACTAGCAAATATTTTTTTGAATAGTTTAACAAGCAAAAGTCGCTGGAGTAAGCAGGAGACCGAATAAGCACAAGCAAATGCTCAGGACTTACGCTGCAATTCCTCGGCAACTGCTGCCTCCGCCCGTGCCCCACTTGCCGTGCTGGAGCCGGCCTCGTAGCAGCTGTGGGCGCTGGCCTGGAGCGGCGCCAGGTTTCATGGTGCAGCCACCACCCCAGCTGCCATCGCCGTCGACGCCAAATCTCGCGCTTGCACCGCCCCCACCGCTGAATCTCCCACTGGTGCCGCTGCCGGCACTGAATCTTGCGCTCACGGTGCGGGATCTCATGAGCCCGGCTTCATGATCCGGCGATTGGGATGAGAGTGGGGCACTGACGATGATTGCTGAGATGCATACAACCCCTTCCAACCCGCCCTAACCCGCTTTTCTCGTCGCCCCAAGCCGCCCCAAACCACTAGCTGCTAAAACCCATTTCCACCCAGCCAAATGAACCCTAAGTCAGCACCCGACCCATAGAACCCATTTCCACCCGCCATGTTAGCAGGTCTATGTGCTTTTGGTCTTATATCACAACATTTTATACAAGAGATAAACTTTAGCGTAGGCTATTGATATTAATAGGTGTAGAATTTCATCAGAGTCCTGCAGTTGCTTTCGATGCAAATCAGTGTTACTAAATGGAAGGGGCATAATTTACCTCACTAGAAACCGGCCAGATTGATACTGATTTCAGGCTCATGGAGAACATGACATTTTTCTGCTAGAGTAGCCAAAATGTAGCTTTAGGTAATAACTGGTGTAGGGATGTTGGCCAGCAAGCCACACGATCCTTATAACCTATAGAAGTTATTTTGCGTTGCATTCTATAGCAGGAACGCAACATCAAGAAATTTACTGAACCTGCAAACTGGCCCACATCTTAGGCTTTGTGTCCTGGCCACATTTTTGGCATGGGTCCTGCATCTTGGGGCCAGCATTTATGTTGACAGATATGAGGCATAATCTCCCATTTAGATACATAGGACATGGAGTTGCTAGCTCATGCCTCTATAACCATTCAACCAAGGTGGCAAAATCCCTTCCGTAGTTCCGTGCAAACCATGATAAAGACATGCGGTAGCAATTACAAAAGTAGATTCTGTTTCTTTCATTTACTACAACTAACAAAAGGGCACGTTCTAGACATATGCAACTAACAAAAGGGCACGTGCTACATATATGCAACAGTGAGGAGCTCTTGTCAACAATTGAATACTGAATATGACGAGGAGTCTGCTGCATTCTTTTCATAAGTTATGGGCGGCCTGCAAGTATGTTGTCTCATGTCAATGCCTGTTATGTAGATTTCCTTTTCGTATTGATGTCGGGGAAAGGAAGGGCGGGCCTGGTGCAAGCGGTAGAGTCTTACCGCCTGTGACCGGAACGGAAGGTCCCGGGTTCAAGTCGCGGTATCCTCGCATTGCACAGGCGATGGTAAGACTTGCCACTAATAACCTTCCTCAGACCCCGCACAGAGTGGGAGCTCTCTGCACTGGTACGCCCTTTTTATTGATGTCGGGGAAAGGCACCATTGTGCCAAGAAGAGCTAATACGACTAGTCTGATGCATTCTTTTCAGAGGGTTCGTCATGGCAATGCCTGTTAATGCAGGTTTCGTTTTCGTATTGAAGTTGGGGAAAGGGACCATTGGCTCCGTTCGCTTGGAGGAATCTGGATGAATTTGGATGAATCTGGAGGAATTTGTGAGAAAAAAACACTGTTCCGGATAAAAAAAGAAGCGGATCAAAACCGGGGTTTAAGGGCACGAGAATGGGGCCATTGTGGCAAGAACAGCTACAGCGTGTTTGTTTCCTTTCCAAGCAATCTGTATTAAACACAGGGACCCAGCCTAATCTGCACCACTCATTTCCTGACTAAATCATTACATTTAACTAATATACGTAAATCATTATTCAGCATTCTGTCTGCACTCTGCCTCATGTATCCGGTGTGAGCTGAGACGTGTTGGAACGGACGCTACACGTCTGTAAGAGCAGACTGGAGCACCGGATACTGTATTTTGGGTACCCACAAGGCCACAAGTGAACGGATGCCAGATTGTACTGTTGCTCATCTTCTCTTGTACTGCACCTGTGAACCGTGGTCCATTGTCCGTAGCAAAAACTTAGTTTCTGCACAAGTGAACTGTGATGCATTATCCGTAGCAGAAACTTGTATGACTGAAAATCTGAAACTATTTGCAATAGCGGAGCAATCTGGCAAGTCTGACTGTCAGTTAATCTGCCCGACATTGAGTTTGTTACAAGTTGCTTACCGCTTTTGTACTTTGGACGACTTGCCGCAATTTGCAAGGCGCAGTCATTGTCCAAGATATTTAAGCAGTTTGTTGTAGTTGCAGTGTTGCCTGATGCGAATAGGAGGCTTGTGGACGACAGATAACTGCCGCGAATACGAGGCAATGGACAGATTTCCTGGCGGGGGCGAAGACAGGCAGATCTTAGCCCGGCTGTCACTCGCGCTGTCGCCTGTCCGCAGAAGCTGTAGCTGAATAGAATGTGTCGCGGGGGCATTCATGGCGTCGTTGACCTATATATCACTCCCACAAACCCACCGGTTGGCCATGAATCTGCTCTGCATCATCTTTCTGATCGTCAGAGGGACACATGACAACAACACCGTCGTGCTTCAGATCAGAGCTAGGAAGGAAAAATGCCCCGTTTCATTATCTGTTTTTATTTATGTGAATGAAGGAGTAAATAATAAGTCATGGGGCAGGCACTCAGGCAGCTACCCCACCAGCACCAGGACCATTGTACAGTAGAGGACGCTAGCTCTAGCTGCCGATCAGTGAGCACCCAGGTGACCAGGAAGGACATGGGCAGCCCCCAGATGTTTAGGCGCTGATGAGTGATGACTGATCCAATCCAAACAGAAAGAGGCAGGCCCATGACTGAGGCTGGAGCCGCTCTTCAGTCCGGTCTCCAGGGACCAAGCTCAGTAGGCGGTAGCTCACATGGCAGTAGCCGATGCCCCAACCCCAAAGGCCCGAGGGGGGCCGGACGACGACCTGTTGACACTTAAATTGGACCCGGACCAATTTTAAAAGGCCATGATTAGCTTTAGCTTAATCTACTGAAAACTCTATAGAGTGCATAATAATAATAATAATACCATATTTATTTTTTAACGGGATAAGACCATCCCTACTTTCCTATAAAATAGGGGGTACATGCTTGATTGAGACATCCCACAATCCAATCGTCTTTTCACATCTACAATACAACTCTTCTATGTACTCTTCCAACCCTATGTTGATGTTCATCACTTTGATCCGACGACCAAAGATGGTGTCCTATGCTTGCCGGTCGACCTAGGTAACTCGATGACATCCTTACCCCTCTATGGGGTCCCTCCCGGGCGAGGATTTCGACGGTCCTTGCCCCTCTATGGGGTCCCTCCCGGGTGAGGGCTTCGACGGTTCCCTTTCTAGTTTGCTCAAAAGCTGGCTCTTCTTTGTCACGCAAGCATGATTGGTTACCCTTTGCTAGTTTGCTCGGAAATGGTAGCTTGTCCGAAAACTAGTTGTTCTTCACCACGTATGCACAATACCTATTTTCTCGTAAATCTCTCCGTTCTTCACCGCCTAAGTGTGATTTTCGCTGCGTTTCTTCGTCGGTGGCGATCTAACGCTAGCTAGTGTGTGACCAATCATTACGTCCACGGACCCAATACCCCAGCAGGGGGCATCGCGCCGTACGCCCCTGACACGCACGCCTCGGCCTCGCCAATGGGCACCCAACCGGTGGTGCCGTGGTGGCCAATCCCCAGCGCTGGTCGTGCGCCGCGACGTGTTCCTTCCAAACGGCACGTCCACCGGCAGCCCCCGCGGCCCGGCTCGGCTCGGGCTCCACCCCCGGGCGGCCGCACGGTGTACGTGCCCGGACCAGCTCTCGTGCGGTCCAGTCCAGCCGCTGCCGCTGTACTTGCTCGTGCGGCCATTATCCCGTTGGCGGTTCTGGGATCCCCACGGCTCAGCCAGGCCGTCCGTCCGGCGCCACCCTAGGATGGTCCTCCTCTAGCTCCTCCGTAGACCACTGCACAGTCCGACTCCGGCAGCGCACTATGCACACTCTTTTCCCCGTCAGATTCCTGGCCATGCTGTCCGTGTCCGTGTTTGTTTCTCCAGAGTCCAGAGTCCGGACCATGACCCGATGACCATCAGATGATCAGACCATGCCAGCAGCCAGCCCCGTGAACCGTGAACGTGAAGACAGCCTGTTACGAAAACACAACTCTTATCAGATTGAGATAGTGTTCTGGACTTGGACGGAGCACAGCGCCAAGAGAAAGGCCAAATTCCCAGCTCCCGAGCACGGACGTACACGACTGTTGGCCCTCTGATGGCATGTGCATGTCTATCCCAACCGGCGGCATCCGACTGCATCTTCCAAGACCACGGCCGGCCGGCACTCGTAGACAGAGATATTACGCCGCCCGCGTCCTGTTCCATGCCCAGAAAACCCCAGCAAACCCACACTTGCCCTTTTCCTTCTCACCGGCAACAAGTAGCAATATCCAATATCGCATAGCATATCCGGCCCAAGTGCCATCTTTTGGCAGGCAAGAGCAGGACATTGCTGTTGCTCTTGCTGGTGTTGGTGGCTTGAGCAGCTAGCTGACAGACACACACACACACACACACGGAGAGTAGAGCCGTGGCTGGCCGCATCACCGTCCGTTCCAGTGCATCCCCTAACGGGCAACGAATCAACGATGCCATGCCGGGCACGCAGGCAGTCACCGCCCACCGGAGCCCGGGCGGTCGGTGAAGCCAAGCCACAGCCAGTGCTTTCCTGGTTGGGACATGGACGACGTCGCTGTTGGGCGAGCCCATCCTGGCCGATTCCTGAGAGAGGGAGGGAGAGGCTTCTTTTCCAGGTTTCTCTTGCACGGCTTCAACTGTTGGAAAGCGGAAAGGCAACGGGTTGGTTAGACGTCAAGAGCAGGGCTGCTTGTCCCTGTTCCGGGATCGCGCGAAATAAGGGCCGGCAGATCTCCGGTTCCCCTGCCTCTGCTTGGCCTTGCATGCCATGCTGGCTGGAACAAGCGGGGTTTAAATATGACCTGGTCCAGCGTAAGGTACGCACGGATAAGTATTTTGGAATACGTCAACATCCCTATATATTTTGTATTTTTTGTTTTTAAGAAGAAAAAAAATGTATGCGGTATAAAAGTCTACGGGACAGGAGAAATGAAACCCCAATTAATCATCATCCGAGTGGACTACTAGTACTAGTGTAATTTCTTCAACGAGACAGCGTTGGGTGATTGGCACCGTGGAGTTTGTTTTCGACTCCTATCAACTATGACTTAGAGCCTGCTTGGTTGCTAGCCACATCTTGCCAAGCTATAGGTGTGGCGGCGCCACAGTGAGGAGACAAAAATCGGCTCCACGGGTATGGCGAGAAAACAAACGGATATCAACAGATTCTTCTGTGTGGCTCGCCAAACTAAGATAACAACCAAAACATCGATTCCTTTTTATATATGGCTGTCGAAGCCATGATGTGGAGAAACGGTGGCGGCCAATCAAACAATCTCTAAGGCGATGGACTGGGAACGGTTGGCATGGGATTGATCATATGATGCTTGTAATCTCTTAAGGCTTTGAAACACTTGCTCCAACCAATTAATTTGATCCACAGAAAGAAGAAGATGTGTTTTTCTTGAAACACGGGTCATGTAAGAAAAATAATAAGGTGAAAATATCGAGAATTAGAGTTTCATTTTGTTTTTATCATTAGATATTGTCATGCGTGAAGAGCCTCAAATGGGCAAACGCATGCGCAGATATACTACCAAGCTTGTTCATCTCCACTAAGCTTTGTGGCAAACGATTAGTGGATTCAGAAAGCCCGAAGGGGGCAAATGGTTGGTGACATCACAAGAGTTGGTAAAAATAGAGGGGCGTGACCATTACACATGTTGTTTCAAAAAATCACCTTTTGAGGGCTATCATTTCGGTAGAAAAAGCTAACAACGACCGAGTGTTTTCAGGCTCCTCAGTAGCCAAATTTTTGCGAGTGATTTTTGTGCGTCCGTGTCATGTTCAGTTCAAGCCACGGCTATATGATCGATATTGCAACCAACCTGACAATCTTACTAACTTTAGTATGAGTCCGACCAGCACCGTCTAGCCATCTTCCTCGTCTCCTCAGATACAAAACTCTGAAATTCCTAGCATCACCGAATCCCTGCTAGAGTTTAGTAAGATTGAGAGAGCATGGACAAAGGAAGAGGGAAGCCCCCCATTTCCCTAGATTTTGCACTACATAAATTTAACATTCAGCTTTTTTTTACTTATGCAGTAGAAAAAAGTGTAGTACCGCAGCCCTCTCGGTCTTCTAACTGTCTAATCTAACAAAGAAACCACCGAACCGCAACCTAAAGAAGGCGGGCGTTGAAGAAGGCGGGCGTTGAAGGCCACGCCCGCAGCGGGTGAACGGCTTGCCTGTGCGGCTAGTGGATGGCCATGTCCCTGCCCGCCAACGCCTCGGCCGTCGTGGACGGGTCTCCGCCCCCAACACCGACGGGTGGCGTGAGATCCTCCCCCGGCAGGTCACATGATCTGCTGCTGCTGCCTCGACGGAGGCTCGCCCCAGCCAGGGGCAACTTTCGCAGGCCAAGAAGATCCCGGCAGATCTTCACGGCAGATCCTTCAACTGCCTTTCCTACTCGCACCGAGTAGCGACTTGTCAGTTGCCACGGCGTTGCCTGCGCTGTCGCAGATTCGGCCACCTCGTCAAGGACTGCAGGCGTAGGAATGCTTCGACCTCGGCGGCGGTGGGTGCCGACCTGCCACGCTACCCTGCTCGCGTCGGCCCTACGTCCTCCCAGCACGCGCCGCGCGGCGGTGCAAAGGGTGCCGCACCGGGGGCCATGGGGGGCGCCGGTGGGAGACGACGACGACATCGACGACGCAAGACTAAGCCGAAGGAGATCGGCACGGGTGCGCCTGCCGACCACGCTGACAGACCACCTGCTTCTACTGCTGCACTAAGCTTCCCCGAGCCAGATCCGGTGGCGCTGGTGCTTTGCGTGAGTGCGGAGCCCCCCGCATTGGTCATCTCTTTTGACCCGATGCTGGAGGAACTCGCCGCCTCGCTCGTCGTGAGCCGGCCAATGAGAGCAGCAACACCTGAGTGTCTGCCTGCTACGACAGCCCCTCAGGATGTTGAGGCACCAGTGGTGGGCACCTGTTCCCCGACGACGGCTGCTCAGTGGACGACAGACTTGTCTCTGATGTCGCCAGTGCAGGGGCCGCCACAACTCACGCCACCGCGAGCGGGAGCACCCGACGTCGCAGAGGGTTGCACCACCCCCCGCGACGCGATGCCCACACCACGCGAAGCTGGCCGACGTCTCGCATGGTTCACTGAGGAGGTGCAGCTCGAGCGAATGCCGCCTCTGATCGCCAGCCCACCCAGGCAGAAGGTGCCAACCATAGGGCAACCCATGCCAAAGCGGAGCATACGGATTGCCGCTCAGCCGCTGGCGCACATTCCGATCTCCAAGCGGGGCGAGGTGCTCCTCATGCGGAGGATGGGCTTTGCACCGCCGGCAGGTCCAATCTCATCTGCGTCCAAGAGAGCTTACGACGACTTTTTCGCAAGGAACTGGACGTCGAGTGAAGTGGAAGCACTGGACGAGCTGTTCCCGGCGACCGCTGCTACGATTGGTACAAGGCTCTTCTCGGATGACCCAAAGCTCCATAGGCTACTGCGCTGCTCGTAGTTCGATTGTTTACTTTTATGTAATATCAAAGTTCCAAATAATCTGCTAGGAAAGTCCAGTCCAACTGTAAGACCTCCTAAAGCGCTCATTAGAAGCGCGTCGTGTGTATAGTTAAATCCTTCTTATTCTTAATTACAATGAAACGAAGATGGTGGATACACCATACATACATACTAAGAGTAGCAAATGGCGACGTAGTTGTCATCGGGGTAACATCCTGCTGGCCTTATCCTCACTCACTCACTCACACTCACTCGATAAGCACAAATATTGATGGCGTCGCTGTCAGCTGGGCGTTGCGCCTGGGCCCAGCCGCTCGGAGAGCGCGTGCCGCTTCACGGACACGCTCGGCGTGCTGCCCGCGTGTATATATGCAGGAAGGGGCCTGGCCTCGTGCGGCGCAGGCAGAGGCAGTCCAGTCCACTCCAGTCGTGCGTGACCTGGTCCGCCACACCGCACCAGCACGGCCGTTTCGAGCTCGCTCGCCGCCGGAGCAGGGCGAGGGGAGGGGGAGGAAGGCCGCCGTCCGCTGTCCGGCCCCGGCCGCGGCGTCGTCCGCAGGTGAGGCTACTGGCTACCTCTGTCTTCTTCTCCTTCTCCTCCTCGCTCGCTGGCCTTGTGCCTTGCGGCTGGCCGGGTCCCCCCGCGTGCGCGCCGCGCTCGCAGCTCAGCTGTGCCGCCGGCCGACGCCGTGTGCGCTGGTCTGGACTCGTCTGGTCATTCATGGGGAGGGAGAGGAGCGCGCGCGGTTCCCTGCGGTGCTCCGTCTCCGTCTCCACTTTTTTATCCCATTCGCTCGCTGCAAATTGGTTGCGACTTGCGAGCCAAGTGGGGCGTGCACTCAAACTAACCCCCATCCCATGAGATTGCTGCCGTCATCTTCCGCTCCCCGCCCAACGCGGCACCAACGGACGGGCGCGCGCGGCCGTCGTGGAGTTGGAGGAGCACAGCTCAGTGCCTGCCTGCCTCTGCGTGCCCGTGCCGTGCGCAGCGCACAACAACGCAACAATCACCCACCGATGCGATGAGGCGCGAGTCCCTGGGCGTGACGTCCTCACTCCTTGTCCGGGTGCCGGTCCTTTTGTCTCGCCTCGCAGGTAGACGACAGAGGAGCAGCCGGACGAGGGCCAGCAGCAGGCGCCCGGTCCCGGGCGACGCCGACGACGCCATGCCGGAGAAGAAGAACCCGCTGCAGGCCGCGTTCTGCGGCGAGGCGGTGATCGCCGAATTCGAGGCGCTGACGCGGGACGCCGCCGCCGTGCAGCGGGACACGCTGCGCCGGATCCTCGGCGACAACGCCAGCGCCGAGTACCTCCGGTGCCGGGGCCTCGCGGGACGCACCGACGCCGCCAGCTTCCGGGCCTGCGTGCCGCTCGCCACGCACGCCAACATCGAGCCCTACATTGCGCGCATCGCCGACGGCGACACCTCCGCCGTGCTCACCGCCAAGCCCATCACCTCCATCTCCCTCAGGTCAGTCGGTAACCGCGCACTGTCTGTCGTCGTGTCGACTCGCTCTCTGGCTCTCGCCATGTCAGTAATAAGGTCACCGTGACTGACGACGGACGTACCGCCGGCCCCCATGGCCCCATGTCATGTCTTGCAGCTCCGGCACGACGCAGGGGAAGCGCAAGTACCTGCCCTTCAACCAGGAGCTCGTCAAGTCCACGATGCAGATATACCGGACTTCCTACGCCTTCAGGAACAGGTGAGTACACACTCACACATGCATGCCACATCTCATCACCCAAAACAACAATAATAAGCCTTGGCACGTCGTCGATCGACGACGCTCCAACGACCAGGCTTTTAGTCTTCGATCCATCATGACCTCTTCCAATCTGAGGACGATCCATGCGTGCAGGGCGTTCCCCGTGGAGGACGGCAAGGCGCTGCAGTTCATCTACGGCAGCCGGCAGTTCACCACCACGGGCGGGCTGACGGCGACGACGGCCACCACCAACGTGTACCGGAGCGAGGAGTTCATGCCCACGATGCGCGCCATCCAGTCGCAGGTGTGCAGCCCGGAAGCCGTGATCTTCGGCGCCGACTTCGCGCAGTCGCTCTACTGCCACCTCCTGTGCGGCCTGCTGTACGCCGACGAGGTCCGCATCGTGTCCGCCACCTTCGCACACAGCCTCGTGCTCGCCTTCCAGACCTTCGAGCGCGTCTGGGAGGACCTGTGCGCCGACATCCGCGCGGGCTCCCTCTCCCCCACGCGCGTCACCGACCCCGCCGTCCGCAGGGCCGTCGAGGCGCTGCTCACGGGCCCGAACCCGGCGCTCGCCGACGAGGTGGCGCGCAGGTGCGCCGGGCTCAGCAACTGGTACGGCATCATCCCGGCGCTCTTCCCCAGCGCCAGGTACGTGCACGGCATCATGACGGGCTCCATGGAGCACTACGTCAAGAAGCTCCGCCACTACGCGGGCGGGTTGCCCCTCGTCGCCGCCGAGTACGGCGCGTCCGAGGGATGGGTCGGCGCCAACGTCGAGCCCGAGACGCCGCCGGAGTCCGTCACCTTCACCGTGCTCCCTAACATCGCCTACTTCGAGTTCATCCCGCTCAAGGCCACCAGCTGCCACGGCGGTGCCGCTGACGACGATACCTGCTACGCCGAGGCCGAGCCCGTCGGCCTCACCGAGGTCACCGTCGGCGAGCACTACGAGGTTGTCGTCACCACCTTCGCAGGTAACACTGCATTACACACATCCTCCTTGGGGCTTGGTCCTCGCTCTCGCTCGTTCGTTTTAATTCATACACGACGACGACGACGACGACGCATGGTGCTTACCACTGTTTTGTATGTTTGTTCATCACCAGACTTCCAAATTCTGACCTACCGTATATCGTCACTAGACTAATCTCTTAACCATTCCAGCTGTGCTTGCATTGAACAATATAATGCCGGCCGGTTTCAAGAACTGTACACTGTAGAAACGAAAAGTACTGTCGTTGGGCCGGCCAAGATGTTCATCGGATTTAGGTTTGGATGGTACGAGCTGTTGTTGCTTGTACAGCGGAGAAAAACGTACAAAGCCCTAGAAGCCTGTTACTTTCATGCCAGCAGCTACCTAATTACTCCAGATCCAGATGGAGACCAAACTTTGCTTTGTGCTGCTGTGGACAGTAGTGGACGTACTAATCTTAACCTGTGGGCACAGTGAGACGCACAGCTTTGGTTTCGTCTCACGCTTTCCTCTTTGTTGACTTGGATCACCTCTGAGCCTGACGACGACCGCCGAAGGAGGGGCCGGCTGGGATTGACTCCGGCGGTCCGGCCGGCGGTCGCCGTTCAGCAGCTGTCCGAACCTTGGGCTTTTGCGATCGATCACGTACGTCCTCCCGGTCTCGAACAACTGAACAAGGCACAAAGTGAGATCTCACTTTCAGAGAAAGCAGATGGCTCTTTGGTGAGCTGCGACCGTCGTACTCGCAGCATGGATTTTATTCCCAGTTGATAAAAAAAAACGTCAGGACGTCTGAAACCGACGTTAGTTGTTGTTCTGTTTGGCGACCGCTCTGCACTTTTGTGCGTCCATTTGTATAGTATCTCTGGTAGGTCATCAAGGACAGGAGATGCATGGACGATCTCGGAGATCTGGATTCGGTAACAGTGTGTGTCAGACTCGGTAGGTTATGAACAAAAAAATCAGCAAGAAACAGGAGTGCACAAACTAATGCAAAAATGGTTTTGTTTAAAAGATTCTAGTCTAAAAGTCTATCCATTTTCAACGCATATGAGGTGCGCAAACGTGTGTTTGCAAATCTTCTACGAGGACTTATATAACGCAGTTTTGAAATGAATAGAAATTTTTTCCCATGCACATCCATCCATCCATCCATCATCAGTTGCAGTGTTACTGTCACACAGCTAGTAGCTAGGAGTACTCTTCTTCTTGGAACCTACTCCTACACTACTGCCCACTGCCTGAATATTAAACTTGACTGAATGGCAAGTGACACGGGTGATGCAACTGCAAAAACGACTTAGTCTGAGGCCTGGTTTAGATTGCAAGTTTTTTCACTCTCTCTTTATCACATCAAATCTTTAGACACATGTATGGAGTATTAAATATAGATAAAAAAAAATAACTAATTACATAGTTTGATTGTAAATTACGAGACGAATCTTTTGAGCCTAGTTAGGCCATGATTGGACAGTAATTATCAAATACAAACGAAAGTGCTACAGTGTCAAATATTGATTCCTAATCCCAATCTAAACAAGGCTTGAATGAAAATTAATCATTTAATGTGAGATGCCGTATTGTTTTGTTTTGTTTTCGAAAAGAGAAAAAAAAGGCACTGATTGGACCAAAGACTAGCTAGTAGAGGTAGTAAAGTACTAATAGCATCTACTCCTAGTAAATACTATATATATCGGCCAGTAAAATATGGATTAGGTGTGGAACTGGTGGACCGGCCATGAAAAATATGTTAAGACAAAAGAGCTGCTTCCATGGTGGTTTGTCGGTTTGCCGTCCGTTCATTGTTCTTGGGCGTTCTGCAGCCTGCAGGGAACCTAAGCCATAGTCTAACTGAATCTGACCAGCAGGGGTCGCGTGCATTCACAACTGAGTGCAACGGCTGCTTGCTGCCGTCAAACACTGGCTTCTTCGTTGAATGAATCTTATTCAGAACGAAGCAGCTGAATTTTCAGGCTGTCTGTCTGCCTGTCTGTGTCTTACTACTAGTCGTCCAAGCAGCTATGTACTAGACAAGAACCTTTCGCTTTCTTCCTCACCTATCACCTTTGTGGCTTGTGGGCTTGTGGACGTGGGCATTTTGTATGTTTTTCCATCGCTTGAACTCTGACTTTGCTGCACAACATGGATGGGTATGTACTAGACTTTGCTGCACCAACCTGGAGACTTCCATTGCTTGAACTCTGACTCCATGGATGGGTATGCACAGGGCACGCACGTCATGAGAAAGGGCCTACACAACATGATGTGTCCTGTGACCCTGTCTGATGAACGGATAAGATTTGCCTGCAAGTGATGAAACACTCGCGTTGTGCATCATTATTGCTCTTTTTTATATTAAAGGAATATATATATTTTGGCAGGGCTGTACCGGTACCGTCTAGGGGACGTGGTGAAGGTGGCCGGGTTCTACAACTCGACGCCGAAGCTCCAGTTCGTGTGCCGGCGGAACCTGATGCTGAGCATCAACATCGACAAGAACAGCGAGCAGGACCTGCAGCTGGCCGTGGACAGCGCCGCCAAGATCCTGGCGGCGGAGAAGCTGGAGGTGGTGGACTACAGCAGCCACGCGGAGGTGTCGCGCGACCCGGGCCACTACGTCGTCTTCTGGGAGCTCAACGCCGACGGCAATGACGACGTGCTGCAGAGCTGCTGCGACGAGCTGGACCGCGCCTTCACGGACCCGGGGTACGTGGGGTCACGGAAAACCAGCGGCATCGGGCCCCTGGAGCTGCGGGTGCTGCAGCGGGGCACCTTCCAGAAGGTGCTCCGCCACTACCTTTCCCTCGGCGCCCCCGTCAGCCAGTTCAAGTCGCCGCGGTGCGTCGGACGGTCCAATAACTCCGGCGTCCTCCAGATCCTCTCCGCCAACGTCGTCAAGGTCTTCTTCAGCGCCGCCTACGACTGACGACGACGCTCGATCTCTACTGCCGTGCGTGGACGGTGGACGGCGACGAGAGGAAGGAAGAGAAGGTAGAAGACGAGCATGCATGCAGCGACGCCATGGCGCCATGCACACCCCTGGCCTTGCATTGGCTCGTGCATGCATGCAGTGACAGATCAGGTAGTTTGCAGACTTGCAGCTGTGCAGGATGTTCATGCAGCAGATTCAGGTGCTTGTTCTGATGAGCCATTGCGGTGCAACTGGTACTCTGCACGACGCATCCAATGTGTCCTGTTTGCAAGTAGTAGTGTCATCGTTAAATCGAGTGAAATAAACCTGTTAATATTTCTTATGGTATCTTCTCCCAGATGGATCCTTTGACCCTCTGAGCTCTGAATGTTTATCCTTCGGGGGCAGTTGGGCGACCACATGCCATCGTCGTTTGTGAAGCAACAAGCAAGAAGAGGCAAAGCCAAAGCTCACAGGCAGCGAAGTCGGCCGGCAGGCAACGGTTTGGACGCCTGCATCTGCATGCCATGTGACGAAAAGCACAAGCTGCACAGTGCACGTCGTCTGGACAGGACAGGAAGTGAGGGTGCAAGTGCAACCTGCAAACCGGAAGGGACAAGGCCGGACCTCCTTTCTGCCTGCAGTTGGGAGAACACTCTGAATCTGCAGGCACATGCGTGGCCGGCTGGGCTGCACAGACATACTACTACTACATGCACTAGCGCTAGCAAGCAGCAGAGGTAGGCACTGGTGACTGGCCGACACGGCGATCGGCACTGGGGATGAAAACGGATCGGATACGAACGGATATCACTCATATTATATTTGTTTTCATATTTCTGTTCGGATTCGGATTCGGACACGGATAGCGTTCGGATACATATACGAATACGGATTGACTCGGTTACGGATACGAATAATGAGTATCGAATACGGTATGAATCGGATTCGGAGAAGGTCAGATACAAATATCTATTCGGATATTGAGTAAAAGCAGCATATGTATATATCATACGTGCGCAAACCATTACACCACTCTATGAGTCCATAATCCATCTAGATTAAGCCGAAAGACTAAAGAGTAAAGCAACAAATAAGATAAAGATACAGATACATCATACATCAAACATCATCATACAAGCACCAATCTTCGCGGCATGAGTAGAAATAGCCAAGCTCATGGCTTCATGGGTCTCATGGAGTCATGGTCATGGATTCAAGATCTACAATCCTTATATAGGCTATTTTTTCATTTGAGAAAGTTTGAACAAAATGTAGTTTAAATTTCACAAGTGTGAGACATAGTTTCAGAAAGTCTCTATGAGATTCAAGAATTTGTGACTAGTGTTTGATAAAAATTTCTCAAATGGGAAAATGAGCTATGTAACAATTGTAGATATTGCTGAGATGATCAAACTTGGTATTAAGAGTTTTTTCATCTGAGGTCATTTAGTGTCTCATTTGAGCAAGTTTGACCAAGTCAAATTTGGTCAAATTAAAAAACAACACTTTGACTCTAGTATTATGAACTCTAAATGACTTCAAATTGAAAAGTTTTGAATACCAAGTTTGTTCAACTCATCAAGATCTACAATTCTTGTTTTGGTCAACTTTCCGTTTGAGATAGTTTGGACGGTTCAAATTTGTGATTTTTAAATTTCGATGCTTACAAACTAGTTTTCGGAACCCTAGATTGTCTCAAATTGAAAAGTTTTGAATGTCAAGTTTGTTCAGCTCATCAAGATCTACAATCCTTATATAGGCTATATTTTCATTTGAGAAAGTTTGAACAAAATGTAGTTCAAATTTCACAAGTGTGTGACATAGTTTCAAAAAGTCTATATGAGATTCAAGAATTTGTGACTAGTGTTTGATAAAATTTTCTCAAATAGGAAAATGAGCTATGTAACAATTGTAGATCTTGCTGAGATGATCAAACTTGATATTAAGAGTTTTTTCATCTGAGGTCATTTAGTGTCTCATTTGAGCAAGTTTGACCAAGTCAAATTTGGTCAAATGAAAAAACAACACTTTGACTCTAGTATTATGAACTCTAAATGACTTCAAATTGAAAAGTTTTGAATACCAAGTTTGTTCAACTCATCAAGATCTACAATTCTTGTTTTGGTCAACTTTCCATTTGAGATAGTTTGGATGATTCAAATTTGTGATTTTTAAATTTCGATGCTTACAAACTAATTTTCGGAACCCTAGATTGTCTCAAATTGAAAAGTTTTGAATACCAAGTTTGTTCAGCTCATCAAGATCTACAATTCTTATATAGGCTATATTTTCATTTGAGAAAGTTTGAACAAAATATAGTTCAAATTTCACAAGTGTGTGACATAGTTTCAGAAAGTCTATATGAGATTCAAGAATTTGTGACTAGTGTTTGATAAAACTTTCTCAAATGGGAAAATGAGTTATGTAACAATTGTATATCTTGCTGAGATGATCAAATTTGGTATTCAGAGTTTTTTCATCTGAGGTCATTTAGTGTCTCATTTGAGCAAGTTTGACCAAGTCAAACTTGGTCAAATGAAAAAACAACACTTTGACTCTAGTATTATGAACTCTAAATGACTTCAAATTGAAAAGTTTTGAATACCACGTTTGTTCAACTCATCAAGATCTACAATTGTTATTTTGGTCAACTTTCCATTTGAGATAGTTTGGATGGTTCAAATTTATGATTTTTAAATTTCGACGTTTACAAACTAGTTTTCGGAACCCTAGATTGTCTCAAATTGAAAAGTTTTGAATACCAAATTTGTTCAGCTCATCAAGATCTACAATCCTTATATAGGCTATTTTTTCATTTGAGAAAGTTTGAACAAAATATAGTTTAAATTTCACAAATGTGTGACATAGTTTCAAAAAGTCTATGTGATTCAAGAATTTGTGACTAGTGTTTGATAAAACTTTCTCAAATGGGAAAATGAGCTATGTAACAATTGTAGATCTTGCTGAGATGATCAAACTTGGTATTCAGAGTTTTTTCATCTGAGGTCATTTAGTGTCTCATTTGAGCAAGTTTGACCAAGTCAAATTTGGTCAAATGAAAAAACAACACTTTGACTCTAGTATTATGAACTCTAAATGACTTCAAATTGAAAAGTTTTGAATACCAAGTTTGTTCAACTCATCAAGATCTACAATTGTTGTTTTGGTCAACTTTCCATTTGAGATAGTTTGGATGGTTCAAATTTGTGCTTTTTAAATTTTGACGCCTATAAACTAGTTTTCCATTTGAGAAAGTTTGGACGGTTTAAATTTTGAAGCACTAAATGATTTCAAACGAAAAAGTTGTAAACAACAAAGTTTCATAACTTTTTGAGATCTACAATTTTTATTTTGATCATTTCTCCATCTAAGGTCGTTTGAATAATATCCGGATAATATCCGTTTTTAAATATCCGGATATATCCGATACTTAACCGGATTATCCGATATCCGTCGGATATCGATGATATTGCATCCGTATTTGATATCCGCCTAAGATATCCGTTTTAGTATCCATATCCGAAAAAAATTACGGATATCCGAGTAACTATTCAGATAAGTGTCCATATTTATTCGGTCGAACGGACAGTCGAATAAATATCCGTACCGGCAAGCTAGGTTGGGTTACCGGAGGGCCCCGGCCCAGTGTGCAATGCAAGTAAGGAGTACTACTCCATACGTATGCAACACTTGCTGCTGGTACGCTTGCCTGACCGAGCTGCTCGATCAGTGTCAGTGATGGACCGGTCGCACGCACGTGTTCTTGCCTCTTTTTCATCTCTGCTCCTGCATGCCCCGTTGTCAGGGACGTGAATGCTACAGAGACATGTGTTACAGTACGTGCTAGCTACTATAGACGACCATGTGTTGTTGCCATTGGGCTTGGACCTGCATGCTGCGCAGCCACTTGCACGGACCGCGGACGGATCCTTTCCGGCACGGCGGCACGTGCCGATGAGGTCTCTGATTTGAGTGAAGAGCACCGGACGGTTGTGGTAGCTAGAGCAGTGGAGTAGTCTCGTGTCATGGACCACCCCGAATGGATTTCGGCATTTAAAGAGACATGGACGGGCGGAACGTACCATTCGTCGTCGTCGTCTGAGTGTCTGGCCGATCATTCGTCCAGCTCGTAGCAAATCATCATGGTCATGGTATCAGACTATCGATCAGTACATGTTATGTTTGGTGTTGCACGGCATACCACATATCTGGTTGACGATTTACGTGTGCTAGTAAACAGCAGGAAGGACGTCCAATAAATTGACGCTCACATTGTGTCATTATATCAAAATTCATTATATCCATCCGGTGAGGGTGTCAGAGTTAAAAACTCTAAATTGTTTGTTTGTTTGTTTGGGATCTGAGTGGATGAGATAGGTAATATATCTACATCGTCAGACCCCATCAATGGTGGGATTTCATCTGTCGACATGTACATCTTCTTCCTTGCGACCCCTTCCCGCGTGCCTCACTCGACCGCCCTTTCCCCGTGTCGCATTCCCCTCTATCCCCCTGGCCATGGCTCTATCCTCCGGTCCACTCCTCTGGCATCCCTCGCTCATGGCTCTGTGTCGCTCTACTCCAGGCGGGAAGCAGGCGACCTGCCCCCGCTCCTTCACCTAGGGGCGACATCTTAGGAGAATATTTTCTCCAAGGGGGGCGGTTCCATCCCCCACTTGTCTCCGGACCAAACTTCAGGACAAAATAGGATATCCAACTTCGTCCCTGTCCCAGCATCAACCAAACACACCCTAGGTTTGGTTCGTCACTTTAGGGTGTAGCGATAGACTATATAATTATATACATTCCTTTTTTCACACGGTACGATTAACGGCCTTGCCCCGAAGGGGAAATTCATGAGCAGTTGGAACTGCAATGCGTCTCTCGGGCTAAGGCCATTCTCCGTACAAGTTATGTCGGGTACCTTAGAACGGGGTACCCCAAGCAAACATCAAAATAAAGCTAGAAGGTAAGCCGTGGGCCCCTCACCTGCCACGACCGAGCCCTCCTCC